CTAACAGTTGTTAAATGATTTAATTTAAGTTTATTATTTTCAGTGAACATATGATTTTCTAATTGCAAAAAAGACTTATATAACTAACTTCTGAATTACTTCACTTTTTACTGAATTATTTTGGCAGTCTATAAAATAGAAGGCGAGAAATCAGAATATGTTGTTGTTATTGCCGCAAAATTGATTTTGGTGACGCAAAGTCGAGTTAAAGTCAGATGACGGTCAGTTTGTATATGAAACATATTAATATGTAGTGTAATTAATGCCGATCATTTCTTAAAATTGAATACCCGCTATGTTGTAATAAATTAAATTTGTTGTTTGCTTAAAAAAAAAAAAAAGTGTTACGGGATTTGAGTAATCTTTTATAAGTGTTAATAATTAATAATAATAAGCCTTAAAATAATTCGGAAAATATGATCATGTCGTTAGTCGGAAATTTTCTTGATGTTGGATCAGGATTATTCATTTGTTTTGAATTTTACGAAACTATTTATATAATAATAATGTGTCGCAAGATATTTGATACAAAATTCCGACTGGCTAATTTAAAACTTCAAACATGACAACAAACATTGTAATATTTTTTTAAAATTCATCAAGTGATTCGAAGACTTTAAACGAGAAACCTGATTTGTATGACCTACCGATTATTTTCTCTGTTTGTGGTTTGTAAAGGGAAGGCTGTGCAAAGAGAGGAACAACAAAACTGTCTCATTATGGGAAAAAATATTTATAATCCTTTTACTGGCGCGTATACCAACTTAATGATCTCGTAGGCATACACAGTTTCAAATGGCAGACATTAAACGGTGGCCAGAGCGACGAAGCCATAAGAGATATTCTCAGTAGCGGGTGAGCTCTTTGTTGGAACAGATCTTGCGCAGATTATTTGTGGCGATTTCATCCGAAATCTGTGGAAAATAAATTTCCGAGTATAGTTCAGAGAAGAAAAGATGATTCATTAAAATTCGAGTAGTAAATAATTAGTAAAAAACAAAACAAAATTCAAAACTCAAAAAACATCATCATCGCCATCATCGAGACCACAAACACCAAATGATCAGGAAACAATATTATTATCGCTGTTATTATTATTTTTGTCGCCATCATCACTATTATGATTATTATATAGTAATAAACCATACTATTCATAAAAATATTAATATAATATCAAATCATTAGTATTGTAATAATCAACACTGTCCTACCATTCGAATACTCGTGATTATTATTGATATTCGTTATATTCATATTTATTTTTAATTATATAATAAGGAAAAAAATGAATAAATTTAAATTATAATTATTCAAAATAATCAAAATATTTATGAATATAATTATAAATGCTCGGAATAATTATGTAATGGATTTAAATATATTAATAAACTGATATTCGAATATTCGTAAATAAATTGACATTCGGTTAGGAATACTATTAATATACTATTAGAGCAATTCCAATATAAGAAGCTTTCGTTAACTTTGATCCAAAACATTAAGGTAAAGCTATATTTACAAAAAGTTATGTCCGAGAGAAAAATTTGCAGTGTGCCTAAAATCTATTTTTGGCCATTTATTAATAGTTTTGTGTTCCCGATTTAAAATTGGACGGAATGTTCCAGATATAAATTGCATTGCATAATAATAATAATAAAGATCGACGGAACTATACATTCCAATATTTAATAGGAGGAAAATAATATCAAACAGTAATAAGATTCAGTCGTCAAAATTTTATTATTATTGTTATTATTTGAGACAATGAACGGGAATGATGATAATAGTAATAATTATCACACAAAAAATATCCGCAACTGCAATTTTATTGATCAAATTGGCGATTGCGGATTTTTTTTTTAAATAACTGCATAATAGTAATGGGATGCAATGATAAGAATCGAGACATTTGGAAAAATTTTTGGTATTAATAATTTTCAGTCATAATAATATTTCTTTATTAAAATTTTTTAATAATGATTCTATTGTTGATGAAGATGCGGCAAAGATGGAAAATTTATATGTATTTTGATTTGATTTGATTTGATTTGATTTGATTTGATTTGGTTTGGTTTGGTTTGGTTTTAAACGCTTCAATTGATGATGAAAATAATGAGGATAAAGATGAAGATAGTAAATTAAGATATGGAACACAATCTGATAAATTATTGTCAGGAAGTTTTGCGGCGATGGCATTCATGACATTATATTTGAAGAAGGAGGGAAAAGTAATGTAACAAAAGTAACAATCTCGAAACTTCCAAATTGCCATCTGTTAAATGCTTTGAAAATTTTCAATATATCAGAGTGTTCACCAAACGTCAGTATAAATGATAAGGATAACAACAGATGATCAATTATTATGGTATATCCAAAGATTCTGCCGGACCAATTATTGATCCAGGCCGCACAGAAGAATGTTGCCATTTTAAAGCAGCAATTTCAGCAACTTGATCGATTTATTTTCTTTATATAATTCATAAAACCTTTAGATATTCAAGTGTCGAAGGTAAAATTTAATTAACCCCGTGTATACCCACTAGAAAAATTCAAGCTCAGTTGAATTTTATGATAGACTATTTTTTTTATTTATAAAATGCAAAACATTACAAGTAATACAAACAAATATTAAAAGTACAATTGTTTGAAGTAATGAGTATTTAATAGTAATAGAAATATTATGACATTTAATAAATTTAAATTTATGTCCTTCATTTTCATTATAATTGTTTGATCTTTTAAATAGTAATGTAATATTGGAAATATCATTGAATGCATGATGTGAATCAATACTTTTATTTGAATCAAAAGCATCATTAGAAATACTAGAATCATCAATACTAGTATCACTGGAAATTGCATCTTGATCATTATTCATCAAGCCACATGGGTGAGTTTCGCTTGTAACATTTACTGATTTTGAATCATTATCTGAAATATCTGAAAGAGTAAGTTTAGCTACAGTGATCCTTTGATTTTCATTTTGTAATCTATAACAATCAAGTCCGGTAATAGAGCAATGTAAAGTTATGTTCAACTTAGGTTCCTATAATAAATATAAAAATATATTAAAAAAATATCTCCCCATTTTTTAAATATTAAAATTACCATTGCTATTTTGTAAATTTAGAATGTGTAATAGTCCAACAAATCTTCTTGATAGTGGAAAAAGTTGTACATAAAAATGACATAAATGGTGGGGTTTAACTATTAATTAAAACAGATAATTAAAGTTTATTATCTAGCGGAACATTAAATGTGCTCATTATGATTGAATTAGAAGGTAATTTGAATCGATGTGGATACGGGTATATTTATATTTATAAATATGATATAAGTTCTTGTTATCAGGAGGTCCGACGTCTTACTAGCAGAAAAAAAATTTTTTTCCTTTAATTCAAATATATTCTTATTATTGAACGATAAACTGATTGTATCACATGATTATAATACAATGTTGCAAAAATAGGTTTATTTCTGCCAGTGATTGATTACCTGATAATAATAATAAACAATAAATTGAAATTTTCCTTGTACAGGATAAAATTGATCATCAAAAAAAAATAAAAATAAAAAATTCCGAACCTGTTTTTTTTCCTCAAAAAAACAATATAAATTAACTAGCAACTTTGATAAATTTTTTTCAAAAATCTCTTTGTTTTTTACAATAATTAAATAGTTGGTAATTTTTTTTTGCAATATCTGTTAATTAATTTATTTGTAAGAATTTTAATTATATTAAATATGAAAGATAATAAAATTAGCCCCAAAACTATTCTCAATTCATTAGATTCGCTTACTTCAACTGAAACTATTAATAAAAAAGAAAAACATAATAATAAAAACAAGATAGTCAATATATTGAAATCATTTATTAAAAATTTAAATTTCTTTGGTAAAAAGACAGACAATGATAAACCAAAAGAAGAATACGGTGGTAGTGACAGGAGTGATTCAAATGTATCAGAAAACGTTGATTGTAGTGATAAAAACAAGATAGCCAAAGTCAATCCATTTGATCCATTTACTAACTTACCAGAAAAAAAGGCAGACAATGATAAACCAAAAGAAGAATACGGTGGTAGTGACAGGAGTGATTCGAATATATCAGCAAATGTTGAGAATTTCTTTAAAAAAAAAGAATATGGTGATAAAGAAGCAGATAAAAATAATATTGTCTATCTTGATGCTAAATCGAATTCATTTACTGATTTAAGTGAGTTTTTTAATATAATAACTGACAATGATAAACAACAAGCAAACAATTTTAATCTATCAGAAAATGCCGATGATATTTATAAAAATAATACGGGCCGTTTATTTAGCTATTTATTTAAAACTTTTAATAAAAAAATAGACAATGGTAAACAACGTCCTAAATCAATATTAATAAGACAAAAATTTCTGGAAACAAACAATTCAAAAAATTACACCAAACCGAAGGCATTTGTGCGGGAACTTTTATTCGGATTGGCAAGGACCAAAGTTAATATAAAGCCATGGAATAAATTTAAAGTTGGATTTGATTTTTTGAAAAATTGGAATTTTATTTTAAAAATTCTATAATAAGAACAAAGCTGCTTTGCCTTAAAACGGGGGAATGTCACTCCAAAAAGTATGTACTTCTTAATTTAAAGCAAGCTTTTCTTTTTATTGCGAATAATTAATATACAATATTTTATTAGTCATTAATATTAATATTGATATTAAAGTTTATTGATTTATATATATAATATTAAAATATTAAAATATTAAAATATTATTGCTTGACGCAATATTTTAAATTAAAAAACTTCTTTAAAACTTTAATTATAATGTTAACGTTCTTTACAATTGCAACAAGGCTTCGAACGAACCAATATATACTATAAATTGATCCAATTTAATCATGAAAATTCTTTGTTTCAACAAATTATAATTAATCCGCGTTACAATGAATCTTTAAAATTTTTTGCTTTACATATAAAATTAGTTAAAATGCGACCATATGAAAAATAACATACAGAAAAGGTATTGAGTACGTTATAAACATGCGTAATTCAAAATAGTAAACCATGGTACAAAAGGTACTAGTTACGGAAAAAAAACACTTTTCCGTACCTTAAAATATGGGATCAGTGCGGAATACATACAATAATCTAATACTAATACTAATACTAATACGGAAATGATACGGGAAGGTTCCGGGATTCATGCGGAAACTGTATATTATTATTGTTGTTATATTAATATAACTTTATGGTAAATAATTATATCATAATAATAAATAATAAATATTTTATTTTGAAAAAAGGAATAAATAAAAAACGTGTTACGACACTACACTCGCTATTCGTGTTGCAAATCTAAAAATGTTAAGGACTACGGCTACTAGAAATCATTATATCTAAAATACTATGGTGTTATAAATGAACGTAAAGAATGTGGTTATTAAGATACGTGATTAGTCAAATTTGGTCGATTAGAATTTTCCAATAATATAATTATAAAATGTGATCTTCATCATACAGCATTATTTTTCTCAAAAACCCGTTTTTATTGGAGGGTGTCATACAAGTGGATCAACAAATCACCATTATTAGTAAAAACAATAATAGTAATGATAATAAATTGAGAAACGGAATAATTATTAATAAATAATAGTTGTTTTCTAATTTGAGCATGTTTGAATTGAATCCTATAACTTGATTTAATGTATTGGATTGAGTTAAATCAAGTGATTGGATCGGGGTATTAACCCGCAATTCGACTCCTTCAGTATATGGGAGTGATTAAAACTTACTGAATATCTAAAGACCTTTAAAGAATAGAGAGAAAGTCGGATAGATTGTATAATAAATTCTTTTTTTTTTTTTTCTGCAGATTAGGTGACTTAATTACAAGTGGTAAATCAACTTCTGCTATTTTCTTTACTTTTTTAACAACAGTTAAATAATTAGGAATTTTATTATTATAAATATTGCGATACATTTTTTTCCGTTACCATTACCAAAATCAATGCTTATTGTAATATTTAACAAGAAAGGAATTAAAAAAGTGTAATTACAATTACATTTTAATTGAAACGTCTTTAGCAAATATTTTATTTCGAAGAAAAAAAATAGAATAGAATATTATTATAAACAATTTATTTTGATTCTAAATATTTTAGATGTGAAGGACGATTTTGTAGAAAATTTCAAGTAATTAACTGTTGTATTTAAATCTTTTAAAATGCATATATGTATATCAGCGAAGCAATCCATCATTCCATTGGCAATAATATTAATAACTTGAAATAAAAAAATTGTAAAAATAATTCTTCTGAAAAGGGGTTTCCCTTTTGATTTCGTTACTATCTCATATAAACAGTAGCATAAGAAAACAATTATGGTAATTGTCCATCATTGTTCATCAGTAGACGAATATCTTTGTTTTTATTTTTGCAACTCAACCTCTTTATTATCATACAATCTGGATTGATAATTAATTATGCGACTTTCATCTTTATTTAATCCATTCATATTCTCGAATTACAAACTAATTCTTTATTGGAATAAATAACTAATACATCACGTGACAATAGTTATTCACCTAAAATTATCTAGTCATAATAAATAGATTGCTAACAAGTAAGCCTCGTTGCGTTAAATCAGGAAGATCCAAATCCTCCCTATAGCTAATTGTGGCTTCATAGAAAGTCATCATCACTGCCACAATTAAAAATGGCAGGATCTAAGTAAATTAATATAGTAAAATCAGTAAACATGAAATCTTGTCTGACTGATAATAAATAAGATTTTGATTATTCCAATTGTTTAATTTTTGAAGAATATATACTTGGAACAAATTTAAAAATTATTACTTTATATTATGTAAAATAAAAAAAATCCGAAAAAACGTTTTTTCAATTGTTTACATAGCTGCGCAACCAAAATTATTATTATTATTATTGAGTAAAATAAAAAAAAGGTTTTTAAATTGTTATGTAATGTCCTGCAGCTGCACAACTAAAGTTATTTGAATATTATTATTATTTTA